ATATCAAATTTTCAAAGGCATCTTGAGTTATTGTAACATCATCCAATTTAAGAATTTTCAAGTTCCTAAAGCCTTTAAATGTATATGATAATTCTAAACAATGTAAACTTTGACAAGAAAATAAGCAGCAAGGTAACTTATTTGAAATAGCTTGGAACTGTCCAACTCCACTTTTTGAAATAGCTGTAAAAAGGAAATTTATTGTTAGATTTCAAAAATCATAAATCAGCCGACAACTTTCTTGCTATGTATAGACACCTCAATCATAAAACTTGTCTTCTAGAATTGAAGATGTTTGGACTATCTAAAAAGGAACTAGTCCTGCCCAAATCACAACAATGATGATAACTTGGAACTACAACATGCCAAGGCATATTTTTCAGAAATTAGATAAGTAAGAGAGCCACATAAATGATAAAACAAATAGAGAAATTATCTCTTAGCACACGTATTAATGAGAACGTGCACGGGTTCTCTACGGGCATTCCACACCTCAGCAAACCTAGCAAACAAATCCAATGAGAAGATCCACCATCATCACCTTGAAAAGACAAAAAATAAAGTAAATAAAGACAACCAATACTAAAGTATGTGAATGAAGTTCCTGCTTCTTCAAATCAGCATCAACAACCAAAGAGTCATCATCAACAGATGATATCACAGCCTCCAGCTCTTGTATTCTTTTCCTGAGATTAGTGGTTAGATTAGTTTCCAGCTCTGCTTTCCATGCTTCAATCTGCAAAATTTGAAGTTAAAATGGTGACAATAGCACTTTAAATATTATGAACACCAATATAATTCACTCAAGAACCTCAATGCGGTCACCCTTGCATGCAACAAGCTTCTCTTTAAGGTCTTTGATTTCAGGGTTCAAATCTGACAAAAGCCTTTTTTCCTCTGGTGTTAAATGATCAATGAGCTCAGTGGCCATCTCATTTTTTTCAGAGCAATACTAGCCTTAAGTTGTTCAATCTGATTCTGGACATCAACAAGTGATTTCTCCTACAAGCAATTTTGGAAAGAAAAAAAAATCAATTAGCAATTTAGCAGTGAACAATCTCACAAGCAACTACCAATAGAAAGGAAACTTGTGAGTGATAATTGAGTATAATCTGAGAAATCCAATAACATCTTCTTTGCAAGTGCTTTAGAAACTACTTGCTTCTGCTTGTTAGAATTTTCAATGTCCCGCTTAAGCTCTCATATCTCTGATTTGTAATGAACACATTGAGCATCAGCCTTCTGCTGCTCAGCAATAAGTTCATTAATCTCTTGGTCTATCTGTGAGACCAGTTCAGTGAAAACAAAACCGAAGGGGGAAATGGCTTTACGGCAAGGAACGACAAAGGCATCAGAGAATGAATCACAACTAATGGATATGTGGTATTTCATGTTACCACGTAAAAAGAAAATCAAGAGCCTCAAAAGCTTTTTAGCATGAAATAGAACAATGGATGATATAAAAGGAAAAATCAATCAACATCTATGCATGAAATAAATGTAGAAAACCATGTAATAAAGTCCCAAAGAAACACTAGAATCCTGTGATGGCGTATAGAACCAACAAAGTGCAGTAACAAGCAAGTTCTGCCCAACTTACATGTGATAAAACACAGGTAGAACATTTTATTTTCTTCAGCTCAGCTTGCCACATTTCTAATAAATAATTTCATCATGCAAATGCACCTTAGCTCATAAAAAAAAAATTGATTTAAGACTGCACTATGAGTATATCCAAGATTCCAGAAAAAATAATGGTCAAACCAAAATGAAATAACCATTTGTAAAAGTTGAAGCTAATCACAGAAACTTATAGACAACACATCACATCTCCCTCGATATAGGCCAAAAACATGTATTATTACATAACCAAAATAAATCAAAAGCAAAAAGTAAATATGACAGTTGACACACATTACCAAATTGTTTCTCTTCTAACTCTTAGAGCTATTTCTTTCAGACAGTTGATGATAATCGAAGTCATCCGGATTTACTTTGCTCGGTTTCATTATATGTTATAAAAAATTAGTTCTAACCTAAAAATGGAAAATGTACAAAGTATATATTTACAATGTAAAGGATATCTTGTATCTCAAACTTAACTTTCTCCAATTTCTCCTCACTAACGTGAATATTGTCAGCATTCTGCTTAATCATATTCATAAACTTCAACCTTGATCGTCTGTGATCATAAAATCCTCCCGTCATACTACCTTTTTTGCTTACTTGATCACCTATAAAGAGAGTCAACAATTTGTCAAGACAAAACATTTGATCATCCATACTATGCACACACATGCAAAGAGTTAGGCAAACCTTCCGGTGTAATGCAGTCCAAACCATTCGTTCGAGCTACCTTTGAAGCCACATCCAGATTCTTGCAGATAACTGTTCTAGCAAATACCTAATAAAAATATCAAAATTGATGTTAAGGAAAAATATGACTATGAGGATGACATAATTGAAGTAAAGGAAGTAATATTTAGGTTTGGAATGCTCCTCTTGGAAAGTGGTTCCTTTGAAAAACCTGAAGACTACTTCAGGTGTAAAGTGCTAGTGTGACTCAGTCTTAGACACTCTATATTAATAAGGGCTTAAACATGTTTTTAGTCCCCAAAAATATGCTAATTATTGTCTTTAGTCCCCTAAAGTAGTGTTTTTAATCTATTTAATTTCTTAAATTTGTTTTTAAATATGCATCATCCATAATAAGATCGTTGTTTTCTTCTCTGGCCACATACCCACTTTGGGAATATTGGGATAAACCTAAATCCCATATTAAAGATAGATAAGTTCTAAATTTAATTTATAAAGAGAGGCATCCCTCAACTTACAGGCCAGATTTGTAAGGAAGATTTAGGTCCAATATAAAACTTATGATAGTATCAAAGTCTATCAATTTAGACCAGCCTCCAAATAATCCACACACTAAACTAATAGTGTTGAACTTAATGGCGGTACCGATAGAAAGGAAACTTGTGAGTGATAATTGAGTATAATTTTAGAAATTCAATAACACCTTCTTTGCAAGTGCTTTATAAACTACTTCCTTTACAATATCCAAACATACCCGAGAGTTATTTTCCTTATCCTATTAATCACCCACAAATGTGACTTAATTAACCTAATCACATAACTAAAGCATGCCACTGATCAAGAATTTCAACTGAAAACAAGATTAAACAGCAATCCAACTAAAAAACACTACAGAATCAGTTAAAATTCATTTTATAACTAGTGAAAGTTGCAATATGCTTACGGATACGAAAGGAGATAAAAAAGAATCTGAGAAATCAAACTCCAGGGTTGGCACTGCAAAGCATACCCTGAGACAAAGATCTCGAACTAATTGAATCGATTCCGAGGCAAGAAGTGAGGCGCGCTGATGAAACCGCCGAGTACAACGGAAGCAGCGACTGCATGCAATCAAGCTCTGCGACGGACCTGAACGGAGAAAGAACAATGAAATTAAGATTCCGTTAAATTGTAAGAAATGGAAGGATTGAAGCGAAGATGAGGACTTGCCAGACGGTGACGGGAGAGCGAGTTCTGAGGAGAAACAGTGAGGAGGATTTGGGCTTTGCGATGGTGGATTTGATTAGAGAGAACGGTGGTTGTGAGAATGATCGGAAACGAGAAGCCATTGGAGAAATTAGCGCCACCTGAATTTGAAGTTAGGGATTTGAGCTGAATTGGAAGAATGGTTTTGAGCTGAAATTAGCGCCACATTTTCAATTTTGATTCTTTTTCAATTTTTATTCTTCTCCTTGTTTCTGCTTTTAACTTAGTATTTCATAATATAAAAAAAATAATGGTTTAGTTCAATTAAATTTAGGAAGAAATTGAGGATAAGTGTTTGTTTTTAAAAGTATTATAATAATTTTTTTTAATTATTTTATTGAACAAGTGTGAGATACTAATTACTATATAAACCTAATTAAATGATAAAAGTCACTTTTCTCTAATTAAGAGAATATAGTTTCAAACTAAATCGTATCACGCAATATAGATAATAGATAATAGTTGAAAGAAGAGGGTAAGAGTGAAATCATGATCCAGGATGAATGTGAATCTCCGACTGTTTGAGAAGAATCTGGCACAGTGTCTCACGGTGGAGAAGAAGAAAAAAAAATACTCAAATCAAAATCTATCTGGTTCATTGAAGAGCTTGAATGAAGGAGAGCTTGAAAATTTCTCTCAACCTTCGTTTCCAACTGCCTCTGTCGAAAAAAAGAGTATGTGGTCGACGATGAGGTTGCTTGAAACAAAAATATTAAGCTACATTGTCATGAAAATTATAATAATTATAATAATTATTTATTAAATTAATTAATAAAATTGAAAAGGTTGGAAAATAAATGAAAGAAAAAAGTGGAAAATTAAAGGAATAAAAAAAATAATGATTATGATTGGCTAAAATAATTGCGACAGTTCGCTTTAATTGTCGTGATTGTGGAAAGAGGGCGGTTCTTTGCTAATTGTTGCAATTATTTTATACAACATGCCTAAAAAAAATCTGCGACGGTTGGCTCAAACCGTCGTGAGAACTGTCGTAGTTCAGAAATAAGGACGGTTTTTTGATAACTGTCGCAAAATATCTACGACAGTTGACTCTAACTGTCGTAACAACCGTCGCAATCCAGGAATAAGGACGGTTTTGTGACAACTGTCGCAACTCAAGTGTCGTAAATCTCCTTTTTTCTTGTAGTGTTATTCCATGCACCAATTCCTGTCGCAGAGACATTCAACATTGAAGACGCCATAAGACTAGGACTTCTATGCTGATGTCTATCAAAGTCACCAAAACCTTGGTTGGACAACATTCCAGAAACTCTCAATATTTCTGCAGCAGATGTAATATTGTAATCAGAAACCACTGCATTCAATTGAAAAGTTATACAAAAAATGGCCAAAGAATCTACAACCATGGAATAAACTATAGATAGATGAAACATGTACAGAAACAAAAACACATGCATATCACATTGTTCATAGATAGGTCACATTGCAACATCAGTGTTATCAAGAACTCCTTTGAAAACAGGTCCATATCCACCTTCACCAATTTGGGCATCAAGCTTTTTCTGCTTGATCTCTTCTAAATCCAATGCAGCCTGTTCAATAAGCCTAGCTTTTTCTCATACATGCTTAAAATTTTCAAACTATTGTCATTGATGATTGAAATAAGAGTGACTTACATCTTGGTTTTCGTCTAATACTGATATTCTTGATGGATAAGCATCTCTTTGAGACATACATCTTGATCCTAGTCTAGCATCCATGTTTTGACCGAAGATTCCATCATCGTTACTTAAGCGCCGCCAGAGTCTAGGTTCGAATGATGTTCTGAACAAACGAGCACGACAGAATCACTAAATTAAGGACTAAACCTCGACGAATTTATCTTAAAAAATCTCATTTTTTTTGACATAACTGTAATTTATACCTATGTAAATCTTTGGACAGAAAACTTGGCTTAGGACTAGAGAACTTTGCAAAGGCAGCGCCAACAGCTACTCGTTCCCAGTCTTGGCCCAACCGTGGTCGCATACATACAAATTAACGCAGGTTGGTATTGTCATATTGATCCAGAATTGCCCATCACCATGCTCCTCCAATTTATGTGCTCCATAATAGTGTCGTAACTTGCAAAAAACAGCCCGAAGTAACAACAGCATGACCTGCAAAATCATTATGCAAAACTTAATTTTCATGGTATATAACAAAAGTGATAACAAAAGTTCTAAGAAGAATATGAATAATGTTAGTCTTAGAAATTACAAAGAAGGAGGTGCAATTTACGATCTTTTTTTTTGCATCAAGATTCAGAGATCATACATCTTAAATTACATGTCAAGATTATACATGTGATCTCCAATTTGAGGTAGCCATTATTTAGTGTTACAATCATGCTATGCAAATAATCATGGTCTTAAAGAAGTTGTTAAGCTCCAAAAGGACCCGAGCATGCTGTTACCGGCATCAGCTATTGTGCAGCAACCACCACGCACTGCAAACACTTCTCTCGCACAATTATTGTTCTTCTTCAATCATGAATCTCAGGCTCCGACACACGATTGTTCGACAATCACCGCGGTGAAAAAACACGAACAAACACACTTTACCGTCAACCTTCAACAGCCCTGTTTACAAACTCAAAACACCTTAAGGTGACCATACATCCACTTGTAACATACCTTGTAAATCACAACCTGTAATAAAAATAAATTACCATCATCAGGTTCTAATGCCGTCAGTCAAGAAATTGAAAGATCCTCAGTTCACATACAAGACCTTAATAAGCAGCAACAACAACATATACATTTCCCATCGACATGTGGAAGTAGTGATGGTAACTATAATCATTTTTCCGGGGCAACTACAAAAGATCCTCAGTTCAAAAACAATATCAAACTGAATGAAGTGAAAACTGAATGAAGTAAACTACAAAGAAAGAGAATAATCAATATCAAACTGCTAACCAAATATGCGATTCCCATCTTCCCGTTCTCCGGTAGAACGTAACACCACGATACTGCAAACTTCGCGACCTCGGTCCACGACGACTCTTCTTCACCTGCTGCGGCCGTGGAGCAACGAGAGAGTGAATTTAGGGTTTCTTAATATGTTGAGAAAATGAGTGAAAAAATAGTAATATTTGTAATATATATTAATTGGATTCGGTCGGGTTCGGTTACCGACGGGTCCAATATTTCCATCCAAACCGACCCAAAGTAATCCATGTTAAACCGAAATAATCACCCGTCTGACCCGTTAACCCAATATAAACCGACCCGGAATACCCAATAGGATTCGGTCCGGTCGGTTAACTTCAGTTGGTTTTATTTTGTCCAACCCTAGTTTTAACTATTTGATTTTCTATTTAAGCGAGACATGAACTAATAAGATTTTACAACAAAACATTCCTTAAATAAATTTTACCCTAATTCTTACTAATATGAAGCTGACCCAAACTCACAATCATCATTCTTTGGGATATATTGTAATAGAAAAAATCTGTTATTCTATTTTGAACAAAATATATTTTTTGTCATTTTAATCTATCTCACATAATAGTGGTGATGTTGTTGTTATTGTATTAGTGTTGATGTTGTCGTTAAAGAAGGAAGCTCAACCTTTAAAGAGTATTCGATTGATAGATTACAAGTGCAGAAAATCATTTTTTGTTTTAAGTTACACAAAGAATGAATCTTAACTAATAAAAAAAGAGAGTTTACCCAACAAAAAAGAGATCTTAACCATTAAATAAAAAAAAAATACAACTAAATTTAGATATAATAAAAATATTCAATAATAAAAATAAAGATTTGTTATAAACAATTTATTTTAATATTATATGTAAACAATATAATTAAATAAAATTATTCATTTTGATTTTTATCATCAGTGAAATAATAGTTAAAAGAAAAAGATATAAAATCTCGATTTTATAATAAAAAATGTTTATAATCCTGGTTAAAATTAGCCCGTAAAGTTGAAAGATTCCTATTGGTAGATCAGACTGTTACCGTTCACATCTACCGCCCACAGACTTTTCAATCATTAGTTAACTAACAAAATCTCAGCACGAGATCTTACATCTCCCTCCAATCTCGAAATTAAGGGTTTCGGTCAAAATAAATCAATATTTTTCATTTTACTTTTATTTTTTCATTTTGCCGGGAGAAATAAAGAGGGAAGGGTAGAGTAGAAACCCGCTCATAATTTTGCATCAAATTTTGAAACACTTTCACCTTAAGCGCGCTTCTATTGATTTCCCCCCTTTTTTATATTTCTCTTTCTATATTCCAAATCTCGACACAAGTCACTTTTATTCCACTTCAATTCCACTTCAATTCTTCAAGTTTTAGGGTTTCACTTCCACTTAGGGTTTTCAATCGTTTCACCTCTTCTCCAATATCCATGGCTACCGAAACCCTAATTGATAACCAACCATCTCTCCACGACAAACTCCACGGTCTTCCAGCCAATGAAAACAAAGCCGCCGCTGATGAAGAGGTAGATGCTTTGACTGAAGTTGACGAATCGAAAGAGAAGAAAGAGATCCACGAACACGATGATGAATCGGAGAAAGAAGAAGAAAAGGACGAAGGAGATGAAGGAACAGATGAAGATGACGAGGAGGAAGAGGCTAAGGAGAGTCAGTTGAGGAAAGAGGCAAAATCTGAGAAGAGTCCAGTTACGCCGACCAGTGACAGGCCGACCAGAGAACGGAAGCTGGTGGAGCGATACTCTGAACCGTCACCGAAGCTCGGGAAGTCTGCATCTAGTAAAGTTTTGGTAATTGAAAAGGTATATATTTTTTTTTCTGTATTGCTGTGAGTTTTTAGGTATTGAGTTGGTTTTTTCTTGTTTTGATTAGTTGTTTATTTTTACAGGGACGTGGTACTCAGCTTAAGGATATTCCAAACGGTATGTTTAATTGCCTCATGTGATTTCTATTATTTTGACAATGTTGCTGTATCATATCTGGTGAATTTTGGGATTATGTGTGGATGTATATGTGTTCATTGGAATTGCGCTCTATTTGCTCTAGATCTCTTTTTCTATGATGTCAATATGATTGATTTTAATTGCAATACCTATTGTTATTTTTCAATAACTTATGTATAGAGTTTTAACAAATTTCTGATGAGTGCTGTGGTGTAGTATTTGAGTTTATTGTTTTTATCTTTTCCTTTTCCAATATCTTTTTCTTACTTGTTTATTTCATTGCCAAGATTTCAATACATGTTGTAAGTTTGACTAACAGAAATTATTGTTTGACTCACTTTGTTAGTTGTCATATCCGTTTGGTTCTTGAGTCTTGACACTATACTTTTTATTCATTTGGTATTGGTGGCTATATAATATAATGTTTGCAGATAAATAAATTGACAATTTTATTGTTATTTTTTATTTATCCTACATCAGTGTTTGGCAATCAAGTTGTTTATGTTTGAACTTTTCAGTGGCTTTCAAGTTGTCAAAGAGAAAACCTGATGACACACTGCATATGCTTCACAATCTACTGTTTGCAAAGAGAACAAAGGTCTTGTTCCTGACATTTCCTTTTTACTGACTTTCATTTTCTGTCAATGGGGTGTGAATACTCACCTTTTTTTCTCTGAATGGTGGTCAGGCATACAATCTAAAGAGGAATATAGGCCAGTTTTCTGGCTATGTGTGGGCTGAAAATCAGGTACTGTTCTATTTGGTAATGTACTGTACTTTGATCCTTTTCATCACAGTCTTGTGATATAATGTTATGTCCTTGTGGAATATGAATTAACTGTTATTGTGCTGCAATACTCTTTTCTCTACATAATATTGTGCAATGGTTTCTATAGCTATATTATGCAGCAAAATTAAAACAAACTGCAATTTCATGAGATCTGCAATGTAAAGTGCTGATTCATAACTATGGAGACTTGTACGGTGTTTTGTGTTCATGTCATATTTTTGTTAAATACTGTGGTGTTAGCACTATGGCTGTAATAAACCTGTAGTTGAAGGTATCTTTCATAATCCTTCATAGGAAAAACAGAGGATAAAGGTAAAGGAAAAGATTGATAAATTTGTGAAAGAAAAGTTGGCAGACTTCTGTGACGTGCTTAATATTCCAAAGGGCAGTGCAAAGAAGGTACTTGTTATATTATTTTTCAATCCAACATAGTTCTGGTAGTGCTTTTAAAAATTAAAAACCAAATTTTCAAATGAAATGTCTTTTAGGAGGAGCTGTCTGCAAAGCTGTTGGATTTTTTGGAGTCCCCACATGCTACTACTGATGTTCTGCTTGCTGAACAAGAACAGGTTTGTTATTTTTGATTTTTATTTTATATGGGTTGACACTTTGGTATCAATTGTACTTTTGTGATTTCTAAAATATTTTAATGTTTTACACCATTGTAGCAATTCTTTGATTGAACTATTTGATGAAATGTATCCTAGACAAATCATCATTTTTGTTTGATATCTAAAACTGTTTTCAGTCCAACAAAGTTTTCTTAAATTAATATCAGCAAATTATAAACTTGATTCTGTGTTTTTCATTTAAAATTCTGCTATTATTTGTTATAATTTATTTATTTTTGTGCTATTAGTTTTCTGAAGTTTGCTTTTTTTGGTGCACAGAAAGCTAAGAAGAATAAGAAGAAGAAGCGAACTAGGAAAACAACCCCTGGCAAATCTCCCAGGGAAGCATCCACAGAAACACTGGCGAAGGTATTGTCTTTATTTTATTTGGAATTTTAAAAACCTCTTATCCTCTTATTTCCTTTGGGAGATTTGGTGTTGGGAATTTGCTTGTTCTCCAAGAGTGTGTTAACTGATTTGCTTAAGATATGTTTGTTCTTATTTTATTTTTAATTACTTTAATGTTTTTCTTGCTCTAGAAGAAAAAGCAAACTCCACAATCTGGAAAAAAACGTAAACCATCATCTGATGTTGAAGATGATGATAAGGCTGAAATTTCAGATGCAAAAGATGAGCCACAAGAAGATGAAGAAGATGTTGCAGTGGCAAATAATGGAACTGGTGGTGATGTGGGTAAATTCGAAGAAGATGAAGAGGAAGATATATCAAAGACTCACAAGAGTAAGTCCAAACGGTCTGGGAAAAAAGGTTCAGTTGCTAAAGCTGAGTCTAAAACGCCATCTGTTAAAAAGACCTCTGCAAAAGCTGCCAAAAGCAGCGAAGAATCTCCAAAACCGAAGAAACCCATTACTGATAATGATTCTGCATCTCTTCCCAAGTCACACCAACCTGTCACCAAGAAACTGAAAACTGGAAAGGAAAAGCAGGACACTAAGGAGAAGGATGCGATAAAAACCCCAAAGGCAGGTAAATATCAAGCTGCATTGATTACTTTTTTTTTTTTTAATATTTGAAAAAGTTCTATATAGATTTTGATGCTTAATCTATTGGTACTTGGTTGGTCCACAGTTTTTAAACCTTTCGTCATTTTTTGTTAACAGTTGTGCTGAACTGTCCCTGCTTCATCCCCCCAATACTTTGTTAATTTGAACAAGTCTTTAAAATTCATCTCTATGGATTTTCCTTTTTTTATTTAAATATGCTTTAGTTGTTTTTAAATATTATCCTGCTTACATAGTTCCTTATGATGCCAATTGTAGTAAAAGGTAAAAGAAGTAAGAAGAAGGTAGAAGAACCTAGCAGGGAGGACATGCACTCAGTTGTTGCTAATATTCTGAAGGAAGTAGATTTCAACACTGTAAGCAATGTTTCTGTGGCAATTCATATCCAGTTTGAATGATGAGTTTTCTTAGTTATTTATTAGACTTTTTATATCTCTGGTTGCAGGCAACTTTGTCTGATATTCTCCGCCAACTTGGTATGATCTTTTTCCTGACAATTTCTTCCTTTAGGAGAAATGATATCTTGAACTGATGTATTTTGGAAATAAATGTTTACAGGTACACATTTTGGCCTTGATTTAATGCATAGAAAATCAGAGGTGAAGAATATCATCACAGATGTAATTAATAGCATGTCTGATGACGAAGTTGATGATGAGGAAGTAGATAATGAGTCTGATGGAGATGTTGAAGAGGGTGGTGATGCCAGTGAGGAAGATGGCAATGAATAATCTTAGATTGAAAAATAGTGACTACGTAAATTAGAAGCACAAGGGACTTCCCACAGTTAAATTTTATGTTCATTCTCCCGTCAGCGGTCAATATACAGGTTAAAAGTTGTTAGGTATATTTGGTTTGAGATGTTACCTTTTTCTAATGCTGGAAACTAGGACTGCTTGTACCATATTTAGATTCAACCCTTCATTTTATTTCTCATGCTGAATAGTTTGTTTTTTACCTGCCGGTGGCATTATTGCCTTTTGATTTAAATCAATGTTAAATTTATTTGTTAGAATTTGATTGTGGGTTTTCAAAATAGAGATGATTTGGTTTTTGTATTCTAATAACTACTGTTTTATTACTCATTTGTGCTTAGTGATTTGTGAAATAAAAAGAAAAATGTAAAAAAGTGATGTCTAAGATGAAGAAATGCAAGAAAATTTCTATGTGATAATAAACTATGAAATAAAATAAATATTATCTTGACCGTGAGTGCTATACAATTTGATATATGTAAATTTCAAATTAATTAACTAATTATAGAATGAAAAATAATTAGATAAATTATAAATATCTTATACATAATAATTATAAAATAATTATATTTTTATTTTAAATAAATTTTTGATTTTAAATTGTGTTTTTCTTCATTAAATTAAAGAGGTTTGAATTTTGTTATTATATTTTAAGAAATAAAATAGAAAAACGAAAATAAAAAGTAAAAAATTTAAAATGAAAGAAAAAAAGCATGAGAAAAAGAAATGTGGTGGAAAATTTAAAATTTGAATTAAGAGAAAAAAAAATGAAGAGTGAAAATGTTAAAAGTAAAAAATAAGAAATGAATGAGGTGGTAAAAGAAGGTAGTTAGAATTTTTTTAATATTTGTAAATTACAATTATGTCCTTTTAATAGTATAATAATTTAAAATTAGTCAGGTACCTGTAGGTCTGCATAAACAAATTTATTTGATATGATATAGATTTCATTTAAATTATATAAGTTTAAAATGAGATATTTAATTATAAAATAAATAATAATAATATAAATTTAATTTTGATATTTAAAAATAAGAATTTTGTACCTCAAATAAATATAATTGTTAGTTAAAAAATAAATATTTTACCGCCAATGGTCTGTGAAAAATAAAATAAAAATTTTGACATTTAAAAATATGAATTTTGTGTCTCAAATAAAGATAATTGTTAATTAAAATAAAATATGTACTAACTCCGTTCTTTTATATAAGAGACAATTCAGTTTTTAAATTTATTGAATAATCAATGTATTTGGTCAGTTTATAAATTAATACATTGATTATTTAATGAACTTAAAAAATAAATTATCTCTTATAAAAAGGAATGGAGGTAGTATTTTATTGACCGTGCTCCTTGAGAAAATATAAATTTTGGTATTTTAAAATAAGAATTTTATGTCTCAAATAAAGATAATGGTTAATTAAAATGAAATAGATATTTTGTTGATAGTGGCCGTGAAAAAATAGAAAATTTTGACATTAAAAAATAAAAATTTTGTATCTCAAATAAAGATAATTGTTAGTTAAAATAAAATAGATATTTTGTTGATAGTGACCAATGAGAAAAATAAAAATTTTGATATTTTAAAATAAGAATTTAGTATCTCAAATAAAGACAATTATTAATCAAAATAAAATAGTATTTTCTTAATAGTGACTCATGAGAAAAATAAAAATTGACATTTGAAAATATTTTTTTAATAATTATGAATAATTTTTTAATAATTATTTTTTCGGTTGAGTTAATTTTTATGCGTTCCTCCTCATCAATTGAAAAGATTAAATATTTGTTCTTTTATGCTTAAAAAAATAAAAATGGAAAGAGAAAATGGTTGAGTTAATTTTTATGCGTTCCTCCTCATCAATTGAAAAGATTAAATATTTGTTCTTTTATGCTTAAAAAAATAAAAATGGAAAGAGAAAATGAAGATAGAAAAAATTAAAAACAAAAGTGAAAAAGTGTAGGAAACAGAAATGGTGAGTGAAAGAGTGAGAAGTGAAAAAAAATGTGAAAGTTAAAAATATCAAATAAGAATTTGACACTTGATAACATTTGATTGATAACATTTGATTGAAATAAGGTGAATTAATTGAGAGATTATATTTATACTATTTAAATATTTTTCAAGTGTTAAAAAAATCTAAAAGTGAAGGATATTATTGGTACTTTGCAGATATGTTCTTTTTAAGGAATAGATAGTTGATAAAAAAGAGATATTAGAAAAATAAAAACGAAAAGAGAAAATGAAGATAGAAAAAATTAAAAATAAAAGTGAAAAAGTGTGGGAAAGAGAAATGGTGAGTGAAAGAGTTAGAAATGAAAAAATAGTGAAAGTTGAAAATATCAAATAAAAATTTAACACATGATAGTATTTGGTTGAAGTAAAGTGAATTAATTGGGAGATTATACTTTTACTATTTTAACATTTTTCAAGTGTTAAAAAACCAAAGTGAAAGATATTATTGATAGTTTACAAGCATGTTCTTTTAGTGGATATATAGTTGGTAAAAAGGATATATTAGAAAGTCTGATGTTACTTTATTTTAATAAATAGATGAATAGATAATTAATGAGACAATATATATAATCTACTTTTAATGGACTCATAGGAGATAACCTACTCATTTCTCATTATGATGTTTAAGATCAGCTCATTTATGATTTTGAAAATTTCTTTAGTTCAATTGAGGAGAGGAGATAATTTTTTTATCAAGTGGGGGAAGGGATAGGGAGGGATGAAATTTTAATTATATATATATATATATATATATATATATATATATATATATATATATATATATATATATATATATATATATATATATATATTTTAAAATATTAAAGGGGAGAAGATGAAATTTTTTAAAATTATAAATATCTTTGGTTCTTCAGATATCAAAATTAATATTATTCTGGAAGAAAGAACGCCTCTGAACACTAAAGAACGAGAAAACTCTGAGCGTCAGAAGCAACACATCAGAAGACTCTGATCTGCTACAATGACTCTGAGCGAAGCTAAGAAGAACTTGAGTGAAGAACATACGCAAAGTTTCAGAAGACTCTGGATGTACTCAACGCTGCAAGTACAGAAGCTCTGATAAGCAAGTATGCTCTGATAAAGTATTTCACGCTTAAAGCACTTGACTGCAAACTCTGATAAAGAAACTCTGAGTGAGTTAACTCTGATCTAAAGAACTAGGAACATCATCAGAAGTTCTGATGCAAGACGTTCCAAAGTTGTTGAAGAAGATGCTGTTCAAATAAGATCCGTTGGCATATTCCTTGTCTTATCCAAACGACTCTTTCCTCATTTGTGCTTGAAACAAGATTTCAGACAAAAAGAATTTGTCTGAACATTCCCCTTCTGAGAAAGGAAAAGTCAATAGAAGACAAAAAGAACATAATGCACAGATTGCACAGTCTTTGAGAAATGGATTTCAAAGTACTATAAAAGCAAATCTCAACATCACTTCAAAGGTTAATGAATTTGAAACAAACTACCAACAAACCAACGACCAAACTATTGACAAATTATTCAAAGCACTCATTCAAATATTCTTTAAGCTAGAATAGTTTTCATATTCGTTCTTTAACTTGTGTAAAAATCACTGTTGTGATATAGCTTTTTAGAAGCACATCTTAAACACAAATTGTTAGTTTATCTTTGTAAAAGATTTCCTTAAGAAGACCAAGTTGTGGTCAGAATTTATTGAGAAGACTAAGACAGTTGTCTTAGTGGTTTACACTGTAATCAAGTTTGATATAGTGGATTAAGTCCTTGTTGAGAAAGGCAAATCACCTTGGTAGGGTGGACTGGATTAGTTTGAGTTTAAACGAACCAGGATAAAAATACTGTGTTTTTTCTATCATCTTAATCGTTTTAAAACCCTTATTCAACCCCCTTTCTAAGTGTTTTTTCTACCTTCAGTTGGCATCAGAGCTCCGATTCTGTAAGTGCTCTCACTTAACCGTTGTTGCGGTGGCCATGGAAGCTATCTGAAGCTTTCCGATCCGGCTTGCATGTTGCTTTCCTTACTCTCTTTCTTCTCTTAAAACTTGCAAAATACAAACGGAAAAATCCTTAAACTCTTACTCACCTTCTTAGGACGGTCGGAAACGGTGGACGCCGAAGGTAGTGGGATCTTCAACAGATCTACGGCCTCCGTTTCCGACCTTCCTAAGAAGGTGAGTAAGAGTTTAAGGATTTCTCCGTTTGTATTTTGCAGGGTTTAAGAGAAGAAAGAGAGTAGGGAAAGCAACATGCAGGCCATATCGGAAAGCTTCAGATAACTTCCAAGGCCACCGCCACAGAAATGGCGACTTCACTGGGGAATGCCATAATTTTTAAGGGTTATCCCTACCTCGTTTATTGCATGCTATTTACTTTATTATTTGTTTGCTCGTATGTAATATGTTCATATTGTACCTTGCTTGGGGGGTATCTATTTTGTTGTGAGATAAGTCCTACACCCGGACTTGAGTGACTTTATTATAGGAGGTGAGATATTCGACGAGGCTTATAGGGAGTGATTCCCGACCAAGCCGACTTGAGAATCACCGCTCAGTTGAGACCCTTTCGAAAATGGTTCGGTTGAACGAGTATTCGTGAAAACTTTTACCATGGTCGATTGGAGTCTATGATATTGAGGACCGTAGTACCTTAGCACCACCTTGGCCTTATCTAGGACGTAGTGCAAGGACTATGAGGGAATATTCCCGAAATAGTCGCTACGCGATACTACATTCAAAAAAGATTCTCTTGAGAATATTATTAACCACCGAGTTAATCGGGAAATTGATAATATCCAAAAGATGGATTGATGACTTTGGGCACCGCTTTAAAACCCTTGTTCTGCAGGTACAACTAACCTTAGTATATACCTATTGGGATGGGTAGACCCTAACTCCTTATACCTTTAACTTAGGACTTTGTATATATGCATTGCATCCATAAGACATCACATTGCATCACATGT